TGCAAATCCGCAGAAATTGCTCCTGTGAGTATGTAGGAAGTCAGTAAACGGAAAGTAATTAACGTGTTTCATCGCTTAAAGAGAATATGTAATTGCAAATCGAGCGACGCATCCTTACAGATGTTAAGAAACGATATTTTACCATAAGAATAAAGGAAGAACTGAACACGTAGAAACTAGGTTAGTGGAAACGTTCTCTCTCAACCTAGAAAGTACTTTCGTTGTGTAGTGGCTACTTGTTTTTGCTGAAGATATAATCCATTCGAAGACAAGACATGGCTTGTCAGTCTGTATGTAAATTTAGGCCATCGAAAGATTACAAGCACTTTTTGGAGCCAATTTTGATGTTTCTTTAAGAACCTTGAAATCTGAGCCGACGAATTCCGGGGAAAATGGTGAACTTGCATAGGTAGAGGTTTAGTAGCTTGTTTATGGATTGTGGCTGTTTGTTTATCGCATTGCATTGTTGTATGCATTTTAGTTTTACTGAGAGTACTAGTTATCGAGCATTATTTGGTCAGCGTAATGTAACAGATTTATCAAGTTTATGAACACCTGTTTCTTTTCCAGCATCCATGATTTGTAGACATGATCCGTTTTATGTTGCACTGCGTCAAGTAAATGTGCTTTGTTGTCTTTTCAGTAGGTGAAGGTCGATAGAATGCATGCTTATGTACAAAGGTCGATTCATTTGCCTTACAGCGTCGTTGGACTGTACTGGTCTTGCGGCCCGAGGGCGTAGAACGAGACCTGATTGATTGCAGTTGAGAATAGGAAACAGGCAACGATGCAGTGGTAGGCAAGACGTTTGGTAACTGTAAAACCGGTTAAGTAGTAAACAGACAGAATGGTAGGCATGGCGGCTTTGCGCTCTTCTGTCAAGGTTCGATATGGTAAGCGATAGTTTCGTGGATAATAGGTCGAGGTGGCAGAAGCCCGTAGAAAGTTGAGACAGTCAGTATATCTGGCAGACTTATGCCAGATTCATCTGGTCTGATCGATCAGCACCGGTTAACTGACCACTGCCCAGTGTTGCTGACCGCATGATGAAAGAGGTGGCGTGCCGACGCACAGTTCGGACACGAGATTGGCTAAGCGGCTCGAAGCGAAGAGGCATGGGAAAAGTATAGAAGATTAACGTCCAGCACTTCACTGTCCCACACGAGTCCAGAATGAGTTGACTTTACCGCGATAGCGCTGTAATTTTCCGGTCGGTTCGTTCGAAAATCGGCATTTTCTAAAGAGTTGACAGCTTCGTGCATAATCATACTGCGTTTAGGGCGAAGTACGGAAGGTAACATTCGAATCCCTCGTTTGTCAGTAGTGTCCTGCTTGGGAGAAATAAACAATAGATAAAGACCTGCCTGAGAGAACATGTCGCGGCTTTCGTTAGCTGAGGAGAAGACCGCTCTGGAATGGGGGGAGACATGCCTTGAAAAAGCTGCATGTCTCTGCCAGCGGACAAGTCAAAGTCTTAGAACGGAGTACCAACAGTACAGGTCTATTGAGACGTGAATTGGCCGGCATTCTGCAAAACTTATGGTGCTAGATTTTCGCCCAACCGGAATCTAATATTGAAAAAACTACCTGTGTAGGTCCCATAGTTTGTTTTCATTATGGGACGTTTCTGTTTAACTCACCCTTTACTGTTGTACTGTTAAACTGTCCCCTCCATTTTTTGGATACGATGCGCGTTTACGTGCTCTGTTGCCACTGTACATTATGATTTTCATACAGGAATAGCGCATTGGGGTTCTCAAAATTTGGTGGTTAACAGATTTGCCTAAAAGGCGTGAAGAAATCTGACAGCCGATGGCCGCTACTACATACTGTGCTAGTCGACCGTTAGCCTATATCACTACCATAATGGCTGATATACATACCGCTTTCCCTCGCCCTGACATGCGATCTCGCGCTTTGGTTGCTCCCCCCCACATTCTTCACAGCGCGAACTCCAGGTTATTGTTATGAACCCCTGATGCACAGGAGCCTGACGAACGAAATTCATAACCTCGACACCCATGTTGCTACGCAGTTGAGAAGA